CTTACTGAGTTTAGGCAGATTTTAACAACAAGTGGAAGAAATGACACTGGAACACTGTTTCAGTTATACATGGACTTTGTGAAAGTAGAACATATCCTGGGACTCACCATAAATCAGAGAGGACTTCTGAACATCAGCAGACACACATACTGTATACTGGAGAGCCCTTAAAAACTACAAATGCCATTGTGTCTCAGGACATGAACAGAAACATTGGTGAAAACTTGAAGCATGGTAACTGAGAACTTCCTTACGATACTGAGCTCCAATCAGTAAGTAGAGCAAGCATTTACTGAAAAAACACCATATAGGTTTTGCACAAGACAGCCAGAAGGACCACCCTCCTAACCTCGACGTGTCAGCTGTCGAGGTGCAGTGCTCTGTCGTGAGGTGGGCTGCTGGAGTCCTCGTCACTGCTCCTCAGTGAGCAGACATTGTGCAATGCAGAAAGGTGAAGAGGTTCAAGAAAGCTCTTGTCAGTCGGAAGACTCAATGCACCACCAGCACATTCCAGTGGAGGAGTGTGCTTCAGTTGCAACAGAAATGCTTTGTGGAAAAAAGTCACGTCAGTCAAGCATACTGCTAATTGACCACCCGCGATTTTGAAACAGACTTAATTGTTACAGTATGTCAGGCAACAAAGGCTTTTAGACTGTGAATCTGATGCAGACTTTTCAATCAGAGAAAACAGTGGTATGCAGAAAATCCATTAATGGTGTTTCTTTCAGTTCCATGTGTTTCCCTTAAGTTTAAGATTAAGTGCATCAAAAAGAAGCGAACACAGAGTACTCCAAACTGTAAAGATTTGTTGAGGTATCACATTTAAAGTGGATCCATGGGTTGAACTGATTTAATGAGAGTATGGGTGAGACAGTTTTATGTCAACAATTTAATTTTACTTGTAACGCTGCCAGATGTGCCTGTGCTTTCAAAAAAAGGAAAATATATTAAATTGCTGTTAAACAGCAACAAAACCACAGAAACTTTAATAAGATAATAGTTCAAAAGACTGACTTAGTAAATCATAGTGGTAAATCATGTATTTGATATCCTATGATGCTTGTAGCTTGTGGTCACTTTGTAATTCTAGCTGGTCAGAGGGTTGTGGGAGTGTGTGAGATGTAGTCAATACCCTGGCTTCCTTCAAGACACAGCTGCATGAGATTTTGTGTAGCAGCAAGGCTATGATTGTCCAAGAAAGACTTGAATAATAATCTTGCCCTCCTAATAAATCCAGCACTCTGAGAATAGAACTTTCCACAATCCGCACATGTCCACACAGCAGACATCATTGCTCCCAGTCAGCATGTGTTAGGCAATGTGTTAACCATGACGGTAACTGAATATTTACCTGCCTTCTTGGAGTTTTTGAATGTTGATGCTCATGTTTCAGTTCAGCAAATATCACAGTAATATTCATCTATGTAGGGGAACAAGTAAGGGTTTATTCCATGCTGAGAAGAGAAGAAAGTAAACACAACGTTTCGGCTGTGCAGCTTTCTTTGGGTGTGACATGGAAAAAAACTTTCTTGTTCCTTTGCAGCCTACACAGCTCCCTACTCAAACCTGTTAGACTCTGTGTCAGGTTTCTCTGGCAATAAGTGAGGATTGACTTGTGTCTGTTACAACAGACTGATATTTACTGTTGTCCTTGTCTGATTGTCACATTTAATAAAACTGCATACTGTCTTTTTAGTGTTGATTGGTCTGATTGATTCCTAATAACTATACATGTGCTCTGTAAATTTACAATTTCAAATCAATTAGCTACTAGTGTAAGAACCCAACAAGAAACATAGATCAAATGCCCGTCTCTCATCTGGAACCTTTTTCGTTCTTGTATTTGTAAAAATACTTGTTCATATTTTAATCTTTTGTACATGATAAAACTCTGGGATCACTTATCATAGTGCTATCATAACTAGATGCTGAAATAGATGTGGTTTCAAGAAATTTTAAAATAAAGATGATAACACCACACTGGCAGCATAAGTCACAGATATGGCAGGCAGAGCAAGATTAATACTCAAGGTATCTGATAAATTACAGTACGCTGCTCACAGCTCAGGTCAGAGCAGAGTCTCACAGCCCTGCAATCAATCCATACCTCTACTTCACTATCAACACCAAAGGACACAGTGAGGAAGAAAGCTGTGCTTGTCTGGTTACACAAGAAGAGCAGGGAGCTTCCTAAGGGTATCAAATCCCAGGGTGAGAACCAACCGAACATTCGAAAGAAACCCCCACAGAAGAGAACCTCTGATCTGTAAAACATTCCTCCGTGCTTCTGTGCGTGCGCTGAGACAAGCCACCCACTATCAGCAAGGCTGTAATGATCTGGCTTTCAGATGCTGACCACATCACGTGCTACTTTAATGGTCTGCGGAGGTTCCTCTACCAGACATTTCTGATGAGGGAATGCAGTCACACTCGGCAGCTCTGTGTGCTGCTCATCTGAGCGCCTCTTGAAGTCTCATCAAGATTGCTGTCAGGCAAGGCTAACACTAAATCGACAGAAAACATCTTCCAAACATGAGGCACTGCAGCAGGGACTTCTGATGAATGCATGCAGTGCTTCAAGGCAAAACCCCAGGCTAGATCAGGGAGACAGCAGTCAGCAGTGCTTCTCTTTTCTACCGATTGGCACGTGTAATGGGTGACGCAGGGCGGGCTCTGTGAAGAGACCATGGTGTTTTGATAGCAAGCAGACAAGAAAATTCCTAGAATACCCCTCCCCTTCAAAGACATTTGAAACACGTTTTTCCAGCGGTGGGGAAACTCTACCCAGAGCTACTGTATGTCTCAACTCTCGCGTGAAGTAAAAAGAAATGCTGCGCCTCTCCAAAGGAAGACCCTGGCCAGCCCCCTGCCTGCGAGGACAGAGCTCCCTGGCTGTGGGGAATACTTCGCAGCCGGTGAAGCCGGCCGACAGCCCAGGGCACCCAAGACCCCCGGAGCAGCTCTCCCTGAATGCACAGAGCGTTTCACTCCCCTGTCCTGTCCTGAAGTTTACAGGCAGGAGAGACACACCTGTACAAAACGAACATATCATCAGGGGGAAACTATCTCTGGGAGCCCACAGTCAGGAGTGTCTCCCATCCTCTGCGCAGGGGGGTCTGCCAGGAAGGCCAGGGCCTGACTGCCTCCTGTGGAAAACTGTTCCAAATGTTCGCCAGCGTTTCTGTTGCCAAAGGTTTGCAGTGACTGAGCAGAGCAACACACAGGGAGCTGACAGAGGACTGAAACCCAGGAATACACCGTACGCTGCCTACAGAATGACTGTTCCTCCCTTCCTCATGTTCAAGGCTATACAGTACTGCACACCAGTATATCTCTAGGCCCATTCTTCAGTCATACATCATACAGTACATCAGTCATACATCATACCCCAGTCACCTATATACTGTAGAGTATCCCTGTTCCCACTGTACTGTACAGTATATACAGTAGCAGTAAACTGAGGCTCTCTGGTCCAGTGACACCAGTATCCCATAGATATGGCCTGACAGGCACACTGCAGGACCATCAGTACGTTCCTCTTCAAGACGATTCCCCATTATAACAGTGCCTGTTTACGGGATTTCAAGTAAAAGCAGATTTCTCCGCCTGACCAGATGGAAGCACCTGCTGGCACTAGAAATGAGAGAACAGAGGCTCTATTTGAAAGCACCGGGAGCTGCCGGCTTGTTGTGCATTTTACAGCGCGAGGAGCTGCTTCGGAATAAACCAGTAATGACTTGAGCCGAAATTGCGATTGCAACATTGACAGTTACTATTTTTACTTTTATAACGAATATTATTGAGAATAAGTATTATAGATAATACATAACACTAGTGATTATTCTATATAATATGTGTATACAATGCGCGCTGCGTAAGAGTTGCAGTGCGTTAGGAACAACTCAGAAGTCTCGACGTAGAAAAGCCATATATATCTATAACTGTCCTAATCAAAATTCTTCAGCTGTGCTCGGAGAACTAGGAGCAACTTCAGCCACTGCGACACACGTGCTGGAGAAGATGACTGCAGGGGGCTCTCACGCGCCTCGGAAATCAGTCAAAACAGGAGAAGTGTACATCGCGTACTCTTCACAAGCATTTAATGACAGGCTAGCTGCACTCACACTGGTGAGATGTTATCAATCGAGGCTACTAGAAATGAACTCCCATGCTGCCAAAGCTAGCATTTATTTTATTTTTTTTTTACCGTTGAGCTCTTCGTTTCTCGACTAATTTTACGGTTCGGTTTAAAGTTGGGCATCAGTGAGCCCGAACTCTGGCAGCCAGATAGCACAGCGACCAAAACCAGCACCCCGAGGTGCGTTATTGATCTTTAGGTTAGGGTCACAGCCCCACGGCACTGTCTCCGCACCGAATCTGTCATTATCCGTATCAATATACTTTTTTTACCCCAAAAAATGTGCGGAATGAAACTGCAAGTAAAATGCTCTGAAGGTTCAATGCTAATTGAAGAGAAACATTTCAGACTTGCGTCTCTAATTACATAAAAAAAGTTTCGCGTAGAAATCTGTTGCCGCTGGTCATTAAGTTACTGTGAAACAAAACGGAAATCTTTTCCAGTGACAAATCTTCCCTCCACAACAGACGTTCGGTCACGGAGCCACGGCAGGTCCCACAGATGCCCACTGCACGGCAGAAACACGAAGCGCGTCTCACGACGGGGTGGGGGTCTCACTCGCGGTGATCACAAGCACGCAGCAGTGTGTGTGTGCTCATCCCGTTTCATTTTCTCACAGGTTCCGCAGCCGCCTTTCTTCACCCGAGTGCTATTTCCTCCAGCGACTTCACGCGCGACGGTGTCAAGTTTCCCCCCGCCCTGCTCTGAGAGTCGCAAAAAGCGCCTCTATTTCAAATGATCACCTGCACCGCCGGCGTGTGCCGTGCTGTCCTGCCCGCCCCCCGCTCGCCCCCCGGCTCCCTGCAGAGACACCTTGCGCCCCCGTCGCGCACTGCGACCGGCCCGGCGCGGAGTTACCTACAGAGTCGCCGGCGCTCTTCCTCGCCCGCCGCTCGCCCGCTGCGGCCGCGGGGTCCACCAGGCTCTCGAAGCCGGCCGAACCCAGGGAGGAGCTCTTCTGGTGGGACAGCGCCGGGTGAGACCCTGCGGGCTGCGGGCTGCCCGGCTCCGGCTGCGGGTCGGTGGCGCCGGCCAGCTGGTGCTCCCTTGCCCTCTCGCCGCCCGGGGCCGGCTTACCGCGGACGGACCCGTCCGAGTCCAGAGGCACCGAGGCGGAGCAGCAGAGGTTGGGCTGGGAAGAGGAGAAGACGCGGTCCAGCTCCGGTCCCCTCTTCCTCCTGAACGTCCATTTCCCCGGCTCTTTCTTGCCGTCTGCACTGCGACGGTCCGAGCCGATCTTGGGGCTCAGGAACGGCTTGGTTTTCTCCTGAAAATTTTTCCACATCCTCCTCTGGTAGGACAGCGCTTCCTGCTCGCAGGCGCTGCTGTGTTGGGGCGCCTCCTCCATGCTCCCGGAGCAGCACCCAGCCACAGTCGGAGCGCTCCCAGAGCCGGCCGGCTGCCCTCCAGTTAGACCCCGGGCAGCGCGGCGCGCAGGGGCAGCTTCTTCACGGGCGCTGCGACTCCGCTGGGAAACAGCATGATTTCGTAACGAGCATCGAGTGGGGTGTTTCTAGTTTTTTTTAAAAAAAGGCACGGGGAGCGGAAGTATGAAGGGGCTGTGAGTGTGGTTTCCACACTCGAGGTCTGTCTGTGTGTGTGTGCGTGTCGGGGGGTAGCGATGATGCCAGGACGCGATTACAGCCCGCAGCTCCGGGAAGTTATTAAATACGCTGCTCTTCTTGTCGGAGAAGGTAGATTGCAGAGCCGGGTTGTGTGCAGTTCTAACGCCTGGCGCAGTCTGTCCATTAGAAAGGCGACGAAAGTGCATCTACAGCACAGCGCACAGCGACACAATTAATCTAGGAGTGACGTCGGTGAGACAACATCATTTGATACTCCTAGTCTTGGGTCTTGCAAACTGGGCTAAGTGCTGTTTGCACCAGTTTCAGCCTATTATTAATGCATCAGGTCTCATCAGCCTCCTGTCCAGTAGCTGGAGCGTCGGTTAACTCACCGAGAGGCGTTTAAAAAACGCCGCAAATGCTATTGGTTCCGAAACTGATTCTGTTGAATTTTTAATGCTTCTCAGTTTAGAATCAGTAACGTCGTAAAACACGTATGCTGTGTGTTACTAATAATTAGGACAGATATCCTATTGAGACACTGCAAGTGCTAACCCCACTTTGTGCGAATGGTTATCCGTCTGCTCTTGGGCGCTGCCTCCCGGTCGCACTGCGCTACTGCACGATGTTCTGTAGTCTGAGACCTTGTTTTTGATAAACTGCAGTTTTATGAAAATGCGAGGAAAAAATAAAATGCTGATTTTCTTCGCCATGTTGTAGAATGATTTCCCCCTTTCTTCTCTTCTCTTTCTCACCCCCGGGCTTCGGCAGCTGGTTCACCTCGTTTATTCGTCCTGTTCGCGGGGGTTTATTCTTACAGGGAGGAGACCAAAGGCAAAACTCTTTCCCAGTTCTTCTTCCGAACATCTGAACTGTCCGCTATTGATTCCAACTATGATGTGATCCCCCTTAATTGCTAAATGCACATTCATTTAGGTCTTTAATTAGCCGCTGACAAAGTGCCCATCAGCTGTCATAAGTGTTGTCCTGTCGAGTCCTTCTCTGACAAGACATTTTGAACAATGACAAAAAAAAACCCACCTCAAACACTTTAACAGAGCTCCCAGCTCGGGGACACAGCAAGACAAGTCCAGGCAGCCCCCAACCAGCACTGACTCTTCACAATTTGCATAGGAGCCTGCAGGGGCTCGGTTCCCAAACTCTCATGTGCAAGGGCAACGTTTCCTGCTGCCTTCTGAGACAGACAGTACGGGACTCACCCCCTCCATCTATCGATTCAACACAAGTGGAAACTGAGGGGGAGTGAATTTAAATCTGAGAACAGGAAGCACGTCTTTACCCAAAGGGTGGTGGGAGTCTGGAACAAGCTTGCCAAGCATGTTGTTACTGAAGCCTATACTCTGGCTTCCTTCAACAAAATGGCTGGACGAGATCCTCTGATCAGTTAGCTACTAATTACCAAACAGGCTGATGGGCTGAATGGCTTCTCTTGATTGTAACATTGTACATGAAATTTAAAGGAAAGTGATATTAGTTTACTGGTGCATTACAGGGCTCAAAATCAAAGTAAAATCATGTTACAGGGCTCAGCTTTCTGTGCTGACAGAGAATATACTTTTCTATGAGTATAGTGGCCATTTAACTCTTGATGAAATCAGACCCATGTCTCTAGAGAACCCTCAGTGCTTAATTTGTAAAATAAACTGACAAAAACAATGTTTTCTCTCTGTTAGAGTCACAACATAACAGAAAAAATAAAGGAGATTCCTGATTTCTGTGCAGAGTCAGGTGAATCATTGTATAATGGTAGGAAAGGGTAATACTAAAAGATTTCAAGACTGTTGAGGCACCTCTTCATACAGTCTGTTTTCTGTGAGCTTCTGCAGGGACCACAGGATTACATTCATGGTGTCCCCAGGTGGGGCTGCTGGTGCAGAATG